AAAGTCTTTTGTGCACTCTTTCCCTCTTTTAATTATCACCCTTCACCGCTTCCTCTCTCTTCATCAAAATTAGGAAAACACCTGTCCCCGGAAAATTAGTCTCCGGCGACCATTCTTCTCCCTCCGGTGACAGGAAAAGTAGTAAGGCTCTGGATTCTCCCTTTGGAGTGATTATTTAAGCTTTGCGTTTTGACTCGTAATTTAGAAGAAATTTGTTCAGCTAAATTCCGTTTACTGATTTTGTAGTGTTTGATTCTTTCGACCTAGATTGCTTTGTTTACTTTCGCTTCTGGTTTAGATGAAATTTTCTGCGGTTATTTATTTTTTATTTTTATTTTTCTCTAAATCCATGAGAGGTTTAATTTTCAAATTTCAGAATTGGAAGAAGGTTTCTGTGCTGAACATGATTCAATGATTTTTAGCGTTTTGAATTGTTTCTGCAGGATTCATCACATTAACAATGAAACATTGAACATGTCTTCTGAGAGAGAGACATGAACATGTCCATATATGCAGACATATGTCATGGATCCCTCTCAGAACCCTTTTGTTTTTTTTTTTCTTCTAAATTTTCTGGATTTTATTTTTATTTTTATTTTTTTCATCTCTCTTATCAATACTATGGAAATGGTAAAAATGAAATTACTATTTTTATTTTATACTTTTTATTATTATTGAATTTATAATTTATTTATCGTTGCAGGAAAAAATGTGTCTGAAATGTTTGCTTCTTTTAAACCTTGCTAATTTTATTTACATTTGGGAGTCAAGTTAGTTTTATAGGGATGTACAATGATCCGTTACTGCACGTGGACCTTTATCCATCTCCCCGATAACATTACCACCTGCGACTCCAACCTTTGATTAAATTAAAAAAGTTATAATAATTATGCACAGCTTACAAACAAAACAAGAGAAGTAATTATTTAGAGGAAAATCATTAATAAAATGTTAGTATTATTTCACCAGGGTAATTAATAACCACTAAATAATGTCAAGTATGCGGGTGATTCATCTTAGGGAAACCTACAACATTGGTTTAAGTGAAGAGGTGTTTGTTTGGTTTTGGGGGAGAGAAGAGTGTTATATGTTATGCAATAGATAGTTCCAGTTTGGTAATCCTTTTGATGAAAAGGGGTAGTTGAAGTGCAGAAGAGGAGATAGTGCGTTTTTATGTAGAGTGAACCCATTTGCCAGCACACACACAAGACCATGGCACTCTCGTGAGAGTAACAAAAGAGGAAAAATTTTATAGCCTGTGCCTTACCCTACGCACTTCCTCTCTCTTATCCTTTACCATTCATTATCTGAGTCCACTCACAAGTATCCCCAATTTCCAAGGGACCCCCCTTCCTTCCCCTGCAATTTGAATCTTTGATTTTGTGCAGTTAAACAATAACCAACGTCTAATGATAATAAACGTTAAATGCACGTCGAGGCAGTTTCAGCGAGTTTCTCTCACCCATTACTCCAAATGTTGTTTGCCCTCTCTGTGTTCTTATTACCGTGTCCCGATCTGCTTAGATTTGGGCTTTATTTGATGATAAAAATCTACCCACTTGTTTTTCTTGGGTGTGATTGTCAAATTCGTTCTCCGATAGATCTGAGTCTCTGTAAAGATGTGCGCTTTTTGCATTTATTTTTTCTCTCTCCCTTTTCCTTTTTGACGGGTTTAATTCTTTTCCTTTTATTTATTTGTTTTTTCTTTTGTGTCTGGCTTTTAAGCTGTGTGCATTTGTGGCAGATTTACAGCAGGGAAAAGGATTTACTTTCTAGATAATTTGGTGCGGTTGATTTATTCCGTTGAATGCGGGACTCATGATTGTCAAGGGTGCTGAATCTGGTTAGCTTGGTGAAAATTTCAATCAATGTGGGCTAACAGGGATAGTTAGGGTGAATGGATGTATGTGAGTCAGGGCAAGCATCAGGGAAGAACAAAGCTGCGGAAACCCCAAGAAGAGTAAAACCATCCTTGATTTTGACAGAAAAGAACAATGCAGCCACCACGAGGCGCTCAAGAACAAGGGAAGTTAGTTCTAGATATAAGTCACCAACTCCTGCTAGCCCTTCTACTCCTCGTAGATGCCCTTCACCAATTGTTTCAAGAACAACGCCTGCATCCTCCTCCCACTTGTTTCCAAAGAGGTCTCTATCTGCAGAAAGGAAGAGGCCTTCAACTCCTACTTCTCCAACGCCACCAAGACCGTCTACGCCTACCAATGACTCATCTGTTGATGGAAAATTGTCATCACGAAGGAGTAGCCGTTTGCCAGACAGTCTATGGCCTTCCACAATGCGTAGTCTGAGTGTTTCTTTCCAGTCAGATACCATTTCCATACCTGTTAGCAAGAAAGAGAAGCCGGTTGCTAGTGCTTCGGACCGCACTCTGCGTCCATCTTCAAATGTGGCACACAAGCAGGCTGAAACTCCAACCACAAGAAAGCCTACGCCAGAAAGAAAGAGGAGTCCCCTTAAAGGGAAGAATGCTTCTGATCAGTCTGAGAATTCAAAACCAGTTGATAGCTTGTCTTCTCGGTTAATAGATCAGCATCGGTGGCCTAGTAGGATTGGTGGGAAGGTATCTTCTAATGCATTAAACAAAAGTGTCGATTATGCTGATACCAGAAAGTTGAACACTTCATTTCCGGGAACTGCTGTTTCTTCATTGAGAAAATTATCTCTATCAGATGAATCAAGTAAACCCTTGCAAAGGGCTTCTAGTGATTCTGGAAGGCTATTATCGCTTTTTGGAAGTGGCAGAATAGGAGGTGAGCTGAAACCAGTTGGTGAATGTTTTCCACACGAATTAAGACCTCAAAAGTCTGTTACTGCAACTGCAACTGATAAAGCAGGACTTGCATTTGGTGGAGTCAGATCTCATTCCTTGTCAGCTCCAGGATCACGATTGCCCTCACCTATTAGGACCTCAGTGCTATCCTCTTCTAGTTCAAGAGGTGTCAGTCCATCTAGGTCAAGGCCATCAACTCCTCCTTCTAGAGGGGTTAGTCCATCTCGAATTAGACCAACCAATTCAACCATTCAATCAAACAGTTCAATTTCAGTGCTAAGCTTTATTGCTGATTTTAAAAAAGGGAAAAAGGGTGCAGCCTACATAGAAGATGCTCACCAATTACGTCTTCTCTACAACAGATACTTGCAATGGAGGTTTGCCAATGCAAGAGCTGAGGCTGTACTTTATATCCAAAAGGCAATTGTGGAGGTATTGTTGACTATCTTTGACAACCTGTGTACTCTTTTGATGTAGTTCTTCTGCGTTATATATGATGGCATATATCAAATAATTTTCCTAAATTGTTCTTAACAAAACCTTATTCAATGGTGCAGAAAACTCTATATAATGTATGGATTACCACTTTGTCACTGTGGGAGTCTGTTATTAGGAAGAGAATCAATCTTCAGCAGCTGAAGCTCGAACTTAAGCTGAATTCAATTTTGAATGATCAAGTAATGTTTCTGTCTTTTTTTTTTCTTCTGAAATATATTAATGATATGCCAGCTTTTATTGATGATTTCTTTTTTTCCTTAAAGGAAATTTAACTTGAGATAGTTATTAGTAAATTCATTAGTGATGTATATATACACAGCAGGAGATATGCCATTATAATATTATACTTAAAAGTTGTTTTTTCTTTACTTTCTAAATATAGGTTATTCATAATATACTTGGTTTTTTAAGTGATTTTAATTTTTTATATAATAAAATAAAAGGTTTTGATTCTGTTTTTCAACTTGGGAGTTTTGGTAGGAGTATGTATAGAACATCTGAAATAATTTTGGAGGGGCTAGCATTGCGAAATCTTGTACCAAGTTTATGTTCTAATTTCCCTTGCTATGAATGTGTGATGTTATTTTCCCCGTTAATTATTTCCAATTTCAACACTTAGTGTTGTATTTTTAAATGTGGGCATTGATTGAAGCAGATGATGTACCTTGATGATTGGGCGGTACTTGAAAGAGATCATATTGATGCTCTATCTGGGGCTGTGGAAGACTTGGAGGCCAGCACTCTTCGTCTTCCTGTAACTGGAGGAGCAATGGTATGTGTGCTGATAGGATGCTATTTTTTGTTTGATATCTGAAGAAAGACTATGACTTCATTGCTATGTTTATATTTTTACAGGCAGATATTGAGCATTTGAAGGTTGCTATCTGTCAAGCTGTTGATGTCATGCAAGCAATGGGATCTGCAATATGCCCTTTGCTCTCGCAGGTGTGTTGAGTCTGTTGTGTGTTTTCTACAGTATTTGTATAAGCCAATGCATTTCTTACAATTAAACCTGTTACTTTCAGTGGTTGAAACTTGCATATTTAACTTTTTCCTCTTTTGATTTCCATATTTGTAAAATTGAAATTTTAATTCATTGGTAAAAGGACCAACTGTAAATTTCTTTGTCATTATCAGTCACATGGTCTATTCTTCATTTTCACACCATGTCTTTTTTGTCTGTTGTGCTAGGTTGAGGCCATGAACAATTTAATTTCTGAAGTTGCTTTCATAGCAGTTCAGGAAAAGACCATGCTTGATGAATGTGAAATGGTACTGGCTTCAGTAGCAGCTATGCAGGTGAGGGTCGTGATAAATGTTTTGTTGAACATGAATTATACACAGTAAATATCTCGAGCTTATATTGAATATGACCATAAATTAGTATGACATAAATTTCATTTTTATGTCAGTTATCACAGTGTGCATTAAATCATTTAAATTCGATGCTATTTGTACTACACAATGTAGTTATTCAACTTTAAAATCATGCTGGATTAGATAGTCATAATAATGTTCACTAGATCTAGATCATCAAGTCCCTGTTTTGATTGTAAACTAGTTTCATTTCTAATTTCTTGACCATGCTTATGTTTTTTAATTTATTAGTCTCTTTCTTTTTCAATTTGATCTGTCTTTCTTTGATTGTGTCAGAAGCATATTTTAAGGATAGTGAAAATTCAGATTATGGAGTTTTCTTGTTCTTGAGCTACACTACCTGCTTCATTCTTCACAAAATGTAAACATGCCCCAAAATACTGATAATCTATATACTAGCATTGGGCATGGGTTTGTTGAAGAGACCTTTTGTTAGTGTTTAGCTGTTTAGGGTTTTGGGGCCCTGGCTAGAGTCTCTCACTCTTTTTCCTCACCTCATTTTTCTATCAATGGGATTCATATTGTTTGTCTCTGTTTCTTAAGAAGAGTTTAAAGGCTTTAACTAGTTTACTTTTTAGATAATTACATTTTTGGTCCCTATAGTTTGGATTGGAAGCAATTTTGGTCAGCTCAAGTTTTTTTTTTTTTTTTCCAGGCCAATTAAATCCTTCTATTTTTAAAATTAAACAAATTTGGTTTTCTTCTACTCAATAACTTGACAAATAAATCAATTAAACTGTCTTTGCCCCGAAACTCACCTACTAAAAGATTAAATTCTACCTAAAAAATATGTCAAAATTTTCCTTCTTTAAACCATAATCTCACATCTTATAAAATCCTACAAATTTTATCAAATTTTCCCTAAATTTCTTCTAAACTTGTACAATTATTTTATATCTCAAATCTACCACAAACCTCCAAATATTTGGATAAAAAAAATAATAATTTGAGAATTTTAAGTGAAAGCAAATCTACAGGGGGACAAAAATAGAGGGATTTCATTAGTAAAAAAAGAAAAAAAAAAACTTGGAGGACTAAAAATACACAATCATTGACTTACCGTGGGTATTCAGGACCATTTCAATCAAGTACAAATAGAGTCTGTATGCCTTTATCAATTGTGTTGACGTTGCATTCCCTTGTTCCTTACATCATCACCACGACATGTTTTACTCGTATTCCCTTTTGTTCCACTGAGCTGTATCGCATCCATTTGTCTGATAAACTTTAGAAGAACCATTGATTTCAGGAGTATTTTCTGTATAGTAGCTAAGGTTCTAATATGACATAGGATAAATTGTTGAAAGGGCACTTAGGCAAAGCTGGATATTTCATTTTCGTATCCTTTTGTAGATATTGCAATGTTTATAATCTGCAGTGGCACAGTTTGAAAGACCATAAATGTCTGAGAAAATGTTCTTCAATTGATGCATAATAGAATAGAGTGCACTGCTTCATCACCGTGGTGTTAGTTTCTAATTAATTTTGGCAAAACCAGGTTGAGGAAAGTAGCCTTCGGACGCATCTCATGCAAATCAAGCAAACTTTGGGCATAAGCAAGTAACCAATTTCGGAAATTTAAACAAGCACGAACCTGACCTGCTGCCAAGCTAACAAGTAATAACTTATCTTTTGCGGCTTCAGCCATACCATCCATATCTAATATCTTTCAGGTTCTTTACCTTTGTAAATTTTCGAATAGGTTTTTTATTTTTTCTCCGGTTAAATATGCTGGAATCGATATTGTTTTTTATTACCCTTTGTTTTTTTTTCCCCTTCATCTTTTTCCCCAATACTAGAGGCCGTAGGTTTCCACTTGTAATTTTGTACCAGGCAAAGGAAAAGAAAATGAAAAGCAATGGAGCAAAATGTCATCTAAATTTACGTACGTTTTGCTATTATCATATTTATCAGCAGCTTTGTAATTTTGTAGCAGAAGTTTCTCAGCATGGCTGAGGTTAATATATTATACAAACTGGCTTACGGCAAGTGATTTGAATAATGTTGCATAAAAGTCCTGAGAATGTTTAAACTTTAAAATGCTAAGTAATATCTTAAGAACAGAGGCTGTGGTTAATAATATTTAATATTATTTGACCATGAACATGGATTAAACGTGTGAGAGTGATTGTATATCAAATAATTTTATTCGGTAAAAGTTATTGATTTTAAAAAGTAGTGAAAATGAGTTTATAATCTTTTTTTCCCCCCTTAAAAATAAATAATTAAAATAATGAAGACAAATATTAAAAAAATTTAAAACAAGAAGTATCTTGTAACAATTGGCTGAATGCTTTAAATAGTACATAATAAGAGACAAATATGTATAAAGTTAATGAAGACATAGAAAATTGTAAATATGTACACCCCCAAGAAGAAAAAGAATTGAAAAGTTGTAGTATTAATCGCAGTAGAGGGGTTGAGTGTATTGATAAACAAGATGACGAATAAGGAAGTTTTCACTGGTGTACAGGTGAGGAGGTCACATCAATATCATTTATAATTGGCTGATGACACATTAATTTTTGGGGAGGGATGTTGGTCCAATATATGGGCTCTCAAAGCCATGTTTCAGTTTGTTTGAGATTACATCTTGGCTTAAAGTTATCTTTCACTAGAGTTTGTTGGTTACTACTTGGTTGGATGAGGCAGCTTCAGTATTCAGTTGTAAAGTAGGTCATTTTTCTTTGAAGTATCTTTTGCCTACTGGTGCAGATCATCATAGGATACTTGGAATCTATTAAGAAACATCTTGCATCTTGGACGTGTAGATATCTTTCTATTGGAGGGAGGGTTGTTCTCCTTAAAAGAAAGGGAGTATGAAAGGGTCATTATGGTGGAATGATATTTGGGATCTAGATGAGGGGGATTTTGCTCATTTGGGCTGGGGTAGTGATTCAACGAAGGTGGCATCTCATGGACCACTAGCACAAGTGGTGTATGGGTGCACCATGAGTTTTGACCATAAGATGCATCTAAACTAATAGCTTATTATATACCCTATCACACAGGATCAAAATTTTTGAATTTTTTACTGAAATTATTTTTATTTTTTAAATTACCAAAAAAAAAGCACGTGTTACGATGCACTGACGCAACTGCTATTTAAGTTTGGAACGGGCCGTTCTGATTTCAGAACGGGCCATTCCAGATGAAACAATAACACATGAATAATGGATCAGAACGAGTCGTTCCAGATGAAAAAAAAACACATGACGAATAGATTAGAACGACCCGTTCCGAAATTAGAACGGCCTGTTCCAGATTCAAAAATAACACATGACTAGTTAAACCAGAACGGGTCGTTCTGAATTCGGAACGGGCCGTTCTAACTATTTTTTTAAGCAAAATAATATTTGTTTTTCATTCTACTAAATTACATTTAAAATTTAAGTATAGTTTTTCAATTGATAATGTTTTTCTATTAGAATTAGAGGTTTACATTAATTATATGCGTAAATTTCTAATTCTAATTAGAAAATAACATCAAACAAAATTTTCTATTATAAAATTAGCACCCAATGCAAATCGAAACAGAGAATGAGTATCTCTCCTCACACTAGGTGACATTTAATCAACCCCTAATGTTTGTGGCATTGGCAACAAAATCACGAAAGTCTATGCACCTTAAAAGCAATTAAACTAATGTAAATCAAATTTAAAAATATTTGGTAACATCATTTTTTTTAAGAGGAAAATGTCGAGATATAAAACTAAAACTAACAAACTTTTGCAATGATTTAAATGAGAAAATTATATTTATAATAGAAAATTTTGTTTGGTGTTATTTTATAATTAGAATTAGCAATTTATGAATATAATTAATGTAAAACTATAATTATAATCGAAAAAACTTATTAATTGAAAAACTATACTTAAATTTTAAATGTAATTTAGTAGAATGAAAAAAAATATATTATTTTGCTTAAAAAAATTCTTATGACAAATATGTAGTTAGAACGACCCGTTCCGAATTCAGAACGGCCCATTCTGATTTAACTAGTCATGTGTTATTTTTGAATCTGGAACGGACCATTCTGATTCATTCGTCATGTGTTTTTTTTTCATCTGGAACGGTCTGTTCTGAAATTAGAACGGTCCGTTCCGAGCATGAATAATAGTTGCATCAGTGCATCATAACACGTGCTTTTTTGGGTAATTTTTATTTTTAAAAAAATAATTTCAGTAAAAAATTCAGAAATTTTTATCCTGTGTGATAAAGTGTATAATATACTATTAAACTAGATACATCTTATGATTAAAATTCATGGTGTACCATGCACCACTTGTAAAAGTAGTCTATCATAGATGCCACCTTCAATGAAAAGGTGGTGGAAAATGGGGAAAAGAGAATGAAATTGGGAATGACTTAGAAATTTATTCCAATGAATTCATTAAAGTGATAGGTCATGTTCATATTACACTCATTAATGAATTATCAAGGGGGCACATATATGGAGATAGTTGGCATGTGTTGTGGTGGTGTGCGTTATATGAAAGCCAAGAAATTCGACATTAATCCCATATGTTAATATTTCTTTTAATACTTTCAATTCTGAAGGGGAAGCGATACTATTAGTATCAAATTAATCTACTAAAATTTAATTTTTTTCAAGATTAAAACAATATTTTTCGATTCAATCTCTTTTAAAATTCTCAACTATGGGGATTCAAATAAAACAGTCCAAAGTAATTTCATATTTTAAGACTTGTCAAAAGAAATTAATCTTTAACTAAATGTGTGATATCTTGACTTTCATTCCCATCAAAATATTTTTTTTATGGGTCATACTAATTTTATAAAATTTAAACACTATTCATTTCAATGTTATTTCTTTTAAAATTCAAAGTAAATGTATATTATTTTTCCTATAATTTTTTTAAATGAGTAACAAATTCTCGAATAATTTACAATATCTATATGTATAAATATTTTAAAATCGTGTAATATTAATAGTAAATTAATTTCAAATAATATAATAAATATATCATTTAATAATTTAATTTTAAATTAATTTTATGAACATATATAAATATTTATTATCTTAAGGAGTCCTAAGGCAAAGTCTTGTTAATTTGCAAATAATATAATGTGTTCTTACCGGAATTTGACCGTAAGGATGATCCGTCCAGTAAGATCAGTGAGCCTCCTTCGCTTGGTGTGTTGGTGCTCCGAGATGGGGGAGGTACCTGCAAAAGAGATTCCGATGCCAAAGTTAGGATTTGTATGAGTATGAGTCTCGTATAAATAATGCACATACCTTTGTGTGAATTAGGGTTGTCTTGGGCCTTGGGCCTGAGATAAGATATGATATGATAAGATATCATATGATATGATATGATGAGATATGATATGATATGATCACGTTGTGACATAATATGGTATAATTGGAGAACGGTTTTGGCCTGGGACGTGATCCCGGGTTCGGGAGTGATCTGTCCAAATACCGGGCTCCAAATACCGGGCTGACGCCGCTCAGTGTGTGCCCGGGGTGGCTTTGTATCGCTAATCCGGGCTCGGAGCCCGGGTGCGAAGTACGGTTAGTACACTAGCCCCCCGAGCTCTGAAGACCGTAGGTCGAGGAGTTAAGACCGGGCTTGTTAGAGGGGAGAGTGGCTGGAGGTCCGCCACGTGTCGCGACTGTTAGAGACGTTTTGAGACACACGTTCGATGTCTGTTGTACACCCTCATTTTTTGGTGATAGCTCACGCTGAGATCCGAATTCAGCCTTAATTTTAAGTAGTTTCTCGTGAAGGTTCGAACTTGATCTTAGGTAGTAGTGTCGAGGTTCAGATTTGACCTCGATCATTCCGAGGTTCGGGCTCGACCTCAAGTTCGCGTGTTTAAGGTTAGTATTCAACCTTAAACAAATACGTTAAGGTTCGTATTCGACCTCGAATAAACATGTTAAGGTTCGTATTCGACCTCAAATGAATGTGTTAAGGTTCGTATTCGACCTTAAATGGGCGTGTTAGGGTTCGTACTCGACCTCAAATTTTGAGTAAAATGATTTAATTAAGGTTCGAACTCGACCTTAGGCGAGGGCATCGAGGTTCATATTCGACCTCGGATGATGAGGTTCAGACTTGACCTTAACAAGAGTGTCGAGGTTCGTATTCGACCTCGGATTTGGTTCGTACTCGACCTCAGATTTGGTTGAAACGATTTCATTAAGGTTCAGACTCGACCTTAAATAAGGATGTTGAGGTCCGTATTTGACCTCGACCTTTAACGAGGCTCGGGTTTGAATTCTGCTGAACGAACTTAAGGTTCGTGCTCGACTTTAAATAAGGGTGCTGCGGTCCGTGTTTGACCTCAAACTTGGACGAGGTTCGGGCTCGTATTCGACCTTGAGATAGGGTTAGGTAATCATTCACAAGGTTCGTTCTCGACCTCGTATGAGAATGTTTAGGGTTCGTATTCGAACCTCAAATAAACGCGTTAAGGTTTGAACTCGATCCTCAAGTGAGCCTGTCGAGGTTCGTACTCGACCTCGGAATTTTAACGAGGTTCGTACTCGACCTCAAATTTTGAGTAAAATGATTTAATATTAGGGTTTTTACTGTCTACTGGCACATTGGCATTGTTAGGGTTTTACCTTGTGATTGCGGTGCGGTGACAAAATTGTATTTTTATCCGTTTGATGACGTGGCATCTTTGGGCCGATGTGGTATTTCGATATCCATGTTTCATGGCCGAGCTGAGGAACTCGACAATAATGAGTTTGCTGCTTGGTCAGGCTAGTAAACCTTTGACCGGGTCAATAGATTGGTGAGGGACAAGTTGGCAACTCTGCTGGCCAGTACACTTGCCCCCCAGCACCGAGTGATGTAAGAGCAAAGGGGCTTCTGAGGAGCTCCCAAATTTGATGTTTGAATGTTCTAATTCGATCTTGTTAAGTAGATGTGATTTTTAAGGGTCGAGCTCGACCTTGGCATATCAAGGTTCGAACTCGACCTTGGTTAATAAAATGTGATCTCGA